CCAAAAATATTAGCAGGGGATCCATAGCAACTGTTGATGCAACTCAAATTCGTTAGGAGCGATCCTAGCAACCTTCTGTTAAGAAATACTGTATACAGCCACCCCCACTTAGCAAAATCCCACAATATGGCAAGAAAGATTTGTGTGTCTAAGAATAGATACCTTACCACATTTTTCAAAATGACTGAGCCGTAATGATTTAAATCCTCCCTATCACATTTTCAGCAAGATGTGCCTCTACAACACTATATCAATGTGTTCTGTTCAGAGTTTTGACTCTTTCTCCTTTTTTAAATCACACTATTAACATCCGTGACATTTTAGAAATAATGTTTATTGATTTTCCTGTTAACACTGCTATAAATTAAGTGATGTAATGGACAGGATTATTGAGGTACTATAAAGAATGTATCCTCCAGATTCCTAACTCCTGGCTGAAAAAGACTCTGGATTAACTCAGAATAGGTGCAGTTCTGTGCTGTGATTTCTGTAGTTTAGGTTTGGTTGAATACTATTGATATGACAGAAAGGACATACTAAAACTACCTGCTAAGTATCAAAAGACAGAAGAAAACCACCTCATTTAGATGAAACTGAGAAATGAATGGTTGAGAAAAAACAGATGCAAAATTCCTGACCACTCACTACTCAGAAATGTAGGATTTTGCCAGTATCAGAGTGGTCTGAGTTACTTTCTCTGCAGCAACAGTAAATGGCTAAACCAGGAAAATGCTGATTTATTGCTGGCAAATCCAGAACCAAGGTGCCACATATGAAATGTGTCCCCTCCCATGCCTGGGAGCACTTTGGTAGCAGAAGTAATTGCATCTGAACAGGGTTGGTTAAAAAAGGAGTCATGTACGGACACATGTGCTCCACAGGTTCCAGAGCCCTTTGGAATCCTGACTCACAGATTAATTTTTTCAGACTATTTCTGCAGGATCTTCAAGTCACCAAGTTTTGCTCTTGTTTTATGGGGTAATTTTTCAGCCCCTGAGCCTCCTGTAATAATGCAATTCGATTTCTACCCTTGGATGTTTGGTTTTACATTCCATCACCACTAAGCATTGATTAAGCCTTAGCACATATTCTTGATTGTGTTTACGACTTTGTTTCCTCAGGGGAAGGTCAGCCTTTATGACAACATCACTCTGTTAAAAACAAAGTTGTTGGTGATGCTACTGACTGTGATCAGCTTCATTCATCAGCTTACAAAACTCTCTTGCTAGTTTGCTTCCACACAGGAAAACATTAAAGGAAGGCACGGATTAGCAGAAGTAACAAAAATCAAAAATGGGCTTGGACACCTGTGTTCATAGAATTAATTACATCAATACTCAGTTTCATCATAGTCTTAAAAACATATCTGTCAGAGTGTTGTCTCTCCCCTTGCTGAAGTCCTTCTGCTTTGTCTACACTTTTGTAAATATCCATCAGGGCAAAAAAGTTACAAAGAATCAGTAGTGCCTTCACCCATTTTTTTTTTCAATCCCTTATTCCACTATAATTAAATTTCAGAAGGTTCTTGAGAAATCAGTGGGCCTCATTTTACATCCTAGTAGGTGACTGTATCCATCAATCCAGCACTCTGTGGAAAAAATACCCGGATGTGAAGGCTACACCAGTGTCCTGGATCTTGATGGAGGCACTTCCAAACAGGTGTGGAGCCCTCAGCCACAGCAGGGTGAAAATTCATGCCCTGACAATGCCTATCCCACACCCATCCTAACAATAAAAGCTTTTCAGTCTTGCACTTCCAACTCCACAGAGAACACCCAATCAGGGCCACACAGCCAGAGGTTCTGGCTATAACCACAGAGTCACCCTCTGCTGCTTCACATCTCCCACCCACCTTCTGAGAGGTTTCCAAAATGATAAAAGGTCCAGTGCAGCTTCTTCAAATTAACTCAGTATTAGTTATCTGTTGTGGTTTTTTTAAATTCCTGGTTCTTACGCCACACACTACTATGTGACAAAGTATGTTCACCTTCATATTGGGGAAGATTTCTCCCCGTTTGTCTCATTTCTGTTTTCCACTCTCTGTTCCTTTTTTTCCTTTTTTTTTTTTTTTAACTTCTTTCCTGTTCTTGTGAAGTTTTATTCTCTCAATTTGCCTCACCATTTAGCATTTGACCATGGCACTTTTGGGCTGCTGCCTTCTTAACTGGCCCATTACATCTGCTATTTATTTTCTTCATTACACACAGAGGGCCCAGTAAGTTTGAGCTGTTTAGACAGTACTACTATGTATTTGTGTATGCTATCTTATAAATAACTAATATAAATATTATACATCATACATATAATATATGTTTATATGGTATTTAAATTACTAATAGACATAAATAACACTAAAAAGCACCCACCAAGTTACAAGTAAACAATTCAGGAGATGGGGCTGCAGTATCTGTAATTCCACTTCTGAATCCTCCTAAAAAGAAGCTGAAAATCACAGTTGGCAACATTTCTGGAAGGCAACAGTAATCCATAAATACTCCTTAATTTTCCTGTCATTGCAGAATTAAGCCACTTCCAGCTCACACAGATCTTACCAGGTGTGCTAAATTGATGTCATTATAAGTCATCAGGAAATACCCACAGAGACCTGTAGCAACATTTGGAAGTTTTGTTAAACAGCTGTGTGTTCTAATTGATTTGTATTATTTAAAACAGCTAAAGCAAGTTATCGCCGGATGTAGAGAAGGGATGACTGAAGACCCCAGGGAGATTTAACTCACAAGAAAGCCAATCACAGGAACTTCATCTGAGCATTTTAAGATTATTACTAGAGGAAGTGCAATTAAATCATCACCATTTATCAATTATCATTATAAAATACTATGCAACCTTATCATGTTAATTTATTTATGAGAAGGTAACTAGTTGACTTCTGCTTTTTGCAGTAATCTAGTCAGGAAAAATATTTCAGCATGCTTTCTCTGGAAACAAGCATAGCTTTCCAACATCATCAAAAATAACTATAAAAGTCCAAATCTTACCTAAAATCTGCACATGTCAAATATCTCCACTCTTTGCAGCTTGTCTCAGTTCCTGAGATGTATTTCATTATAGATGTATTCTATCACAGGGAGTATACACCAAAATGTAGTTGTATCAGAAATGTGCACAGGTCTGACACCCTCATTTCAAAAATATATGGGAAAAAAAGTCCCAAAAAGTCAGTAAGCCTTTCTTTTCCTGGCCTGCCAATCACAGTGCACATCAGCTAGCTCTAGTTAAAAGTTAAGTAACATACATGTTACCCTTGGCAAACTCAATTTTTCTTCCCAGTGGTGGAGTGCTTGTAGCATCTAAAATTTGTATCTCTTTTGGATTAAAATCCTAAACCATTTTTTATTCTGCTGCTCATGTGCATTGAGTGCTCAAGCCTGATTTGATGAGTTTGCCCAGTGACTTGCATTATAGGATCTGTGTCCCTGCAGGCAAAGCCTAACCCACATAACAAAATGGGTCAGCAGAAAAGCAGCAAGGCAAGACAAAACTCTGTATTTCAGTTCAGAACCCTGATTCATTTGACAGAGAAAAGCAGTTTTTTTTCTTGTAGACCTGACTCTTGCTTTGATCTGAGGCTTGCAGGCTAGTTTTCATTATCTTCCATAATCTCCTTATTTCACAGAAAGTCACACTTTGCAGCTGTTAACTCCGCTAATTTCTCCAAAATGTTCCTCCTGTGTTTGTCAGTGCACTCGCAGCTGACTGTACCACCTCTGGAGAGTGTCCCAGAACCAGACTCATCACTCCACACATTCTGCCACCCAAAACTCCCGTTTCTGCAGGAATTTGTGTGTAAGTATCCCACACACACCTCCAGTTATTAGATGCAGGACAGTTTTTACTTTACTGTCCCTTAAGAAGCAAAAATAATCCCCGTGTGGGAGTGACCTGAATTTCCTTTTGGCTTCCACAACTCCGATTTCACACATCCCAAACATCCCGTTTATGCTTTATTCTCAGTAGTGCTGCATTATTACATTAAGCTATCAAAACCCAGTTTCCTCATCTTCATTCACAGACAAAGCAGGTAATTAATGCTCCATGTGAAAAGTGTGTATTATAGGAAGCTGCCAGCTCACAACTGGAATTCATACATGCACAGCAATCACCAGAACACCCATGGCTTGGTAGCTTCTCAGGAAGCTGCTATAAGATAAATAATAGTCTGTGGCTGCAAAAAACAAGAATTCTGCTTGTGTTCCCATGGCTGAGCACCATCTACAAACAGGCATCCTGTAATTAAACTGTGTTATTTGAATTAAGAGAGCACCTGTAGGACCTGGTGGATGTCACATCTTTGTCATGCTGCTGTGGCAGGAGACCTGAGTGCCTGGAAACAGCTGAAATAAAAAAATCAAGCAAGGGAAGGGGAGGGAGAAAAGACACATTAGTATCTTGGTCTGATGGGGAAAAAATTCACACCTGGAGAGTCTCAATTCTTTGTCAGGTTTGTTCATGAAACCTGGAGCAAAGGGAAGACACCAGAACAACCAGCTCAGCTCTGAGCTATTAGACAGCACCAGCTTATTTTAGGATAGAAAACCAATTTTCTCTTGTTCAATCCTGAAGACTGCAAGTCTATTTAAAACTGAAAATTACATACAGTCTTTTTTGGTAATTTGATTACCAGACAATCCGAGAAATGTTACACTGATATGTTTTATTTACATAAACAAGTCTGCTTTTGTATTTACCCAAATTCACAATTACTCAGAAACTGCCTGAATTTTTGAGGACTGGCTTTGGAGAAGTATTTTAAATGTGAGATACTGTCAAAGCAAGCCTTAAATGGTGAACACTTACATATCCTTCAAAATCCAGGACTGAAACTATTGCTGGTAAATGGTTCAGCATGACATGATATAGACATATTTTTTTTTTATTATTTTATTTTTTTCCCTTCTATGCAAGAGAGGAGTAAGACCACTGAGGATCAAGGCATATATTTCATTCCCCCACTTCATGAAGGACCAGAGGATTCTCACCTGCTGTGTGATAGTGTCCCAGGGCCCCTCCTGCAGACGAGCCTGGTAGGATGCATGAACACTCCCCCATATTTCATCCAGAGTTAAAGGCCTTCCATCTGGAGGAAGAAACAACCACCTTTAGCCAAAGCTCTTGGGCATGCTGTGTCTTTAATACAGAACAGCAAAATTAAAACTGAAATCTGTTCAAATCCTGGCTGAAGGTGCACACAGAACCACCCTAAATTCCCTGTTTGGTTTTCTTCTCTGTCACCTGAGAGTAACAACTCACTGTGCTGATTGTAAGGTGTGAAGTGTAACTGGCTTTGTAAAACAAAGCTTTGGTAAGGTGGATTTAAAACCACAAAATAACATAATGAAGAATCATCTATTGTAAATATATGCAACTCATAGTGAGAGAGTGAAGAAAATCTAAGGAACAAAATTCTGCAGATAAAAGTTTTTGTGTGTCCACAATGTTTTCTTGAGCTGCTTTTATATAGCTTTACTTCATCAGGTTTTTAGCTGTGATGCTAGAATTATGCCAAGATATTAGTGTCAAGCACTTAGAAAATAAGCATGTCTATTTTAATGAATATTTGTTTATGGCAAACAGAGTATTTGATAGACTTTCAATAAGTAGCTTCATCTTGGCATTTGTCAGGTGTCAGAAACCATCATCCTCCGATATTCAGTTTTATTCAACTGACATTTGTATGTCTGTAAAATGAAAAAGATTTATTCACACAATTAATATTTGAATGCCATGTTTAGACACAAGTTCAAACCAGCTGCCTACAGCCTCTGTTTTATTTTCTGCACATATATATAAAAAAACCCAGGAAGTTCTTAAGCACCATATAGTAGAATCACATGGCAAATTAAGTATCTAAGGGGGTAACAGCATATTAATCAGCTTTTCCACGCTATTTTCATGAAGGTAAGACTTGTTAGACCATCACATCTGCTGCCTTGTGGTGACAGATACCAGAGTTGGGCTGGGGACAGTCTAACATTCACAAAGAAATTTGCTACAACAGCATAAATTTTTTTCAGAAGGGTGTATTTACACTCAGATCACCTGTGTGCAGGTGATATGAAACGCCATGCATATCTGCAATTTTGTTCTCAGCAGAGAAAGCCCAAGTGTAAAATCTGCAATAACATTTGTTCTAGTGCAACACCTGATTTGCCACTCTAGACGTGCTCTGTACACCTTTCTCTAAGAATTTTTATACTAACACTGAGCAGATTCACGTACACATGCAATGGATTACTCTGACTCTGTTAGTCCCATTTTTATAAATTATCAGAATTTACTGAAATATTAACCATGTTATAGGTAAAAACAAGTTTTGCCTTTACCACATGGCAAATTCATTCTGTTCACAAGCTCCCGGCCGTGCTCTAAACACAGATCTGTATTCTTTGGGCTCTCTTACCCCCTTCTTCCCCCTTGTGACAGGTTTAGCAGCCCTGTTACACGTTCTTACAACCACTGAGACCTCAAACATCCAGCTGGTCTGACAGAGCAGGCAGTAATTGTTGCTGCTGGCAACAAGGGCCCACTGTGGCACCTGCTGAGCCAGGCAGCCTCTTGCCTTCCCTGGGATGGAGCTGAGCTGGGAAGTTCAGCCAGAACCTGAAGGAAACAGCAGCGCCAAGCCAAGAGAAGGGGCACGAGAAGAAGGTGAAAGCTCCAGATTCACACACCCATGCATTTATTTAGTCACCATCCAGCCACAAGGACACAGCTTGCTGTGTGTCCCAAGGCTTATCCCAAGTTCAGCTGGGATAGTTTTATTATTTACACTGTTTAGGCTACAACAAACTTTTCTGAGACAAGCTTCTTGACTGCCCAGCTGGGGTTAACTCAATCACATCCTCACAAATAAGAAATAGTTAAAGGCAGAATACTGAGTGCCCTCTCACAGCAGCGAGGTGAGGCTGTCAGACCACACAGGAACAGCATTCTCAGCTGGATCTTAATTTCTGCAAAGAGCAGAAATTCTTTAGGCAGACAGAATTCCATATTTATTTTCATAGAAAATTTTCAGGCTTCCCAAGTCACTGTATTCTATTTTCTTCATGTGTAGTGAGGGCTTTTAGTAATTTCAGAGATTCCCAATTAAAAGCTTTTAACAATTTCTAAGATTTTCAGTTAAAGGTTATTTGACGCTTTGGGTGAAATGGTGCAGAAATTGTTGAGGCTTCATTTTGATGTATTTTATAAAGAAACAATATTAAAAACCACTACCAAATGAGAAAAAAAAAAAAAACTCCTACAGCTGAAGAGAATATATGATCACAGAAATTATTCAATTTCAGTTATGTCCAAAGCCACAATAAAAGCAGTTCTTACAGGATATAGTCTTTAGAGCAGCTGTGTTTCTGAGAAAGGACATGGTGGTTACATGTTTTTGAGCTCAGGAAGTAAATCTGTATTCTGGAAAGCACTTCAGTCAGGCTCAATGTGGTTGTGAATACAGAAAGTCATGCCTTCAGGGTTGGAGGAAGTTGCCCTATCTCAGAAGCTCCCTCTCTCTAACCACTGATTAGCATGGTTTTTATTGGCAGGGATTTAGCTGCCACTGAGCTGACAGTGTTTTGAGCAGGTCAGCCTGAAAACCTCATTCCTTTTCTCTTCTCTAGAGGAGTGAGGGTGCAGTCCTTGTTGACTCCCATTAGTCCTGCTCTTTCTTTTCAGTGTTTAGCCAGCTTTCCTGCTGCTTCCTCTGCCTTTGCAGGACAAAGGAGAACTGTGAGACAAGCCATTATTTTCCCTACACACGGGATGATTCCTGAATGGTGCCTGTGCTCACCTGTGCTGCTGATACCTCACTGTGGGCTTTTTAATGTATGGCAAGAGGGTTCTGAATGCCTGGCTTCAGACGGGGATGGTTCAGGAAAAGACTGAAGCTCCTTGACATCTTAAAGAGTAGGAAAAGAGGAAAATACTCTGCTGATTAAAGAAAGCTTACTGGACCTAGCTCAGCCCATCTGGCTGATGCCAGCATTGAAGGGGAAGGATAATTGCCTACACCATCTGTCTCCAAGAGGGCTAATTGCTGACATCAGATATCAGCAGGGGTTCATGCATTTCTTCAACTACCTATTTGGTAGTCTCAGAAGCCAGGGGAAGAAAGAAGGGCTCTGTTTCTGGATGGTATGGCAGGCACACGGCTGATTTTGGAGAAATTAGCCTCTGCCCTGAGCTCCTGACACTTGACTGTGACTTCAGCAGGTCTGAAATTAGGAATAAATACCACGTGGCAAGTATCATGAGGCAGTGAAAAATGTTTCTTATGTATATACACACTGCCTAAAAATATCTTCTTGTACCCTATAATGTTCCCAAACACCTTTCCAGACAGTCTCATCATGCTTAATCACTATTTTCAACGGAAGTATTTGTCCTTGCACAGAACAGATCTTCCCTGTAAATCCATCCCCTGAGATTATAAGAAAGTTTAGATGTCTCTCAAAATGTTTTATTTCTGTTGCAATCAAAATTTCAAACCTTACCTTGCACCACCTTATGTAGCAAACTTTATCTCACAAACAACAAAAAAAGATCAAAAGACGAGTTAAAAGAAAATAAGTTATTTAATCCAATTTAGACAGCAAGGGCAAGGATATAACACAACTTTTTTTCCCTTCTGCAGAAGAAGTGGTCTGTAATGCCTGAACATCAGTTCTAGCAGAGAGGAGTGAGAACTGGATGTCTTCATTGGCACAAGCTCCTGAGGATGCCAACCAAGCTGGAGATCACAGGAAAATCCCCCCAGCAACTCCATGGGGAGCCTTTTTCCTAGGAGGGGCTGAGAGACCAGGTAAATGGAAGCTGCACTCACATGCAGCAGGAGAAAGGCAGGATTTCATTGTTTCCAGCATTCTAGAGAAGTTTGTAAAGCGTCTGCTGGAGCGCAGATTTGGACAGGCTGGCATCAGCTGCTGTTATACAAAGGGAGGAGGTGAATGCTGCAAAAGCCTCAGCCAGGCTGAACAGAGGAATCATTGTCTCCCAGGTGTGATGGGCATTGCAGACACTGCCAGGGAGGAAGCAGAGCTCTGAATTCCAGCTCTGTGCCCTGTGCTGGGGAAGGCAAGACAGGGCAGGGCTGTGGAACCACTGGAAGGATTACAGAAGCCAGCTCTAATTAGCACGGGGATCAGTATGGGCAGGATCCCAGGGGAACCAGGAGCAGCTCACAGGAGACTTGTGAGGAACCCTTCCTCTTACTGAGCCTACAAACAATGGTAGGAATTTAGACTGGGAAATTGAGGTATGTCTTGGGGAGATTGTTCCTTGATTAGTGCAGGTGAGCAATGCAGTGAGCATTGCTGATTGTCTGACAGACAAAGTGAGAAGCCCATCAAGTGGACTATCACCTCAAGAGAAAAAAAACTCAGGGGATTTTCCAGAGTTTTCCTCACAGCAGGTTTGGGACAAGACAAAGGAGACTCTGCTCAGGTATCTCAAGTGATTATGTGCCAGCTGTACATTTCCAAAAATCCCACTTTGGGACCTTCAGACAGCACAGCACAGGCAGACCAACAACGTGCAGAGAAGACAGAATTCTTCATTTTCAAAAGTAAGCTGCCCATAATTAAAATCAGAGAATACCAGCTGGTAACACTGTAGGAAACACACTTACTGCCAGCATTTAGTATCCTGCTCCCTTCAAGAGTCAGATATTGTTATAATTTAAAAGAGAATGCAAAATGCTGAAGAGAACCCAGGTGACCTTCGGAAGAATCTAAAAAAAGCCCTTGTTTTCCATAGTAAAAGGTTCCCAAGAAGTGTTTTAAAGGATAATTGTACTTGTAGGAGCAATTACAGTTCTGTACTGCAAGGGGAGCTGTTGGCACATAATACCATGATTGTGCATTAGATCATCCACTGGCTCCTGTAATATCCACTTCCAGCTATAAGGAGTCATGTTTCAACACCTCCGATTCCCTGGTGCTGACAAGCTAAACAACTTGTTTTGTCTCTGTGAGCTCTTCTCTGGTGATTAACTGCTTATGGTGAATACTAATTACATGGAAGTACAGTACAGTAGAGATACTGTCCTACTTCCTCTACCTGCACCATCTCCGTCCTCTTCTGTAGAGACACTGCGCTATAAATTCAGCAAAAATCAAGAAGATGACATTTTTCAGGACCACAAATAGGCTAACCCGTCTCTCACAGCAAAACTACCTTCATCTTCCTGTCTGCACAATAAGTTCAAAGGCAAAAGCACTGCACGTTTGTAAATGCCTGTAATAATGCTGGAAATAAATTTGCAACAGGATGTGTGCAAATGAGTTTTGGTGGTGGTAAAGGCAGAGCAATGTCCCCAGTTCCCCATGTCCCACTCTGAAAATTTACCCCAAATTATCCATTCCTGAAACTGCACCTCAGACTAAAATCTTTCCACCAGGGAGCCTAAGAGAATCTGTTCTTCAATTTTGAATCTGAAGTGCTTTTCGAAACGCTAACACTGCAAAATTAGAAACCATTAAACAATATAAGGCAGAGAGTGATTAAATCTACCAAACACATTCAAAGCAGCTTAAGCTACTTTTTAATTAAAAAGGAAAAGATATCACTGGCAACATTCAGACATCTTTATCTAGATAAAGTTAAGATATTATTCAAAACACAGAAGATGCTGATCACAGAATCATTTAGGTTGGAAAAGAGCTGTAAAATGGTTGAGTCCAAGACTTAACCCAACACAGCCATGCTCATCACTCAACATTGTCCCCAGGTGCCACAAGCTGGTCCTGCTGGCCACACCACTGCAGGCACAAGCCAGGTGCCCCTGGAGCACAGGTACACAGGCTTGGGGCACAGAGCACAGCCAGGGCTGCGGGGTGATCACTCTGTGCCCGCTGATTAAAGAAGTGACACCAACAGTGGCCTCCATGGGAGGCTGAGTGTCCCTCCTTCCTCCCCTGACAGGATGGGGGCTGAAATCACAGTGGTACAGCCACAGAGCTGTGGGTAGCAAGATAAACATACCAGGGAGGGGACAGGATCAGACTGTTCCAAGTGCCAGCTTCAATACAAAACAAAAAGTCAATATCCTATTGGTATTATTTTATTTTCCCCTAAGCAGCAAATTTAAACAGAAAACAGCATACATTTTAAAAGACACATTTAGACCCCAGCCTTGTGGCTCAAGCACTGTGGTTATGTCCGCTGATTGCCCAGCCCAGTTTAAACCTGCAGCACTAAGTTTTTGTAGTCATTTCAAGAAAAGAACAAGAAAAATGACCGGCAGTTTCAGTCAACCACAGGCAAGATGCCAGGAGCCAAAGATCAGCCTCCCTCGGGCTGAGATGATATCATCTCCTCCACGGTCCTGCAGCTCTGAGTCCAGAGCACTGAAAAACCCTCTGGTGAGCAGCCTCACCTCTTGGTTTCTTAATACATCTCTTCCTCAACTTAGGACGAGGTTCCCAACACCCAGTGCACGCAGCACGTGGGGTGTGTGCTGGCCTTACCCAAGAAGCAGGCTCTGAAATACAGCACAGGCACCTGGTAGCTGCTGGAGTAGAGGACGTGGTACTCGTAGCGAACCACTTCTTGTGCGCCGCACACGCCGGCGGCCTGGCACTCATCCGAGGGCTCCTGCAACGACACACGAGGCCACAGCAGCACGTCAGCCCCTGCTGCTGTGCCCGGGGAAATTGTCATGGGCTCAGTAAATGTGCGCAACAGAAACAACGGCGGCCAGCGCTTCCACTGCGCTGCTCGTGCAAACCCACAAGGGAATTTTCCAACGCTAGCAAGAAAATCAGAGAGGTCTGAAACCTACAGACATCTTACACACTCCCTTCCACAAACTCTCTGCAAGCCCTTCCAGAATTGAGATCTTTCTAAGCTGCTCTCTCTAAAATCTTCATGGCACAGGAACTGGCACAATAAGGGGACTACAGCTGTACCTGTCCTCATTACATTCAGTAAGACCATTTTAGAAGTGTATCCTTAAATAATCCGGTTTTGCTTGCCAAAAGACAAATCAAATGTATCCACCAAAAATCCTCTGATCTACTTTCTTTAAAGGCTTTTTGCCAGGAGTTGCTTTTACTAATAATATAAAATGTATCATATAATGTAGTTATAATAATAACATAAAATGTAATAATAAAACTGAGAACGTTTTTTTCCCCCTGTTAGTGTATATTCCAGGTGTAAAGTACTAAAGTTTATGGTAGATTTGAAACAAATCAAAATAAATGAAACTAATTGCATTGAGAGATACCACAGCTGCAGCACGAATTTCACAACATTTCAAATTAATATTCCAACAGTGCTAAGCACGCAGTTGTTTGGACTTTTCTAAAAGCTGTCATAACTCAATGTCTCTGAAAATGTAACCATTAAATTAATAATGACATTAAGATTAAACATAAGAACAAAGTTTCCAAGAAGACACTCTGGGTGTGGACTTGTTCAGTGCTCAAACCCCCAAATTTACATGCATGAACTAAGCAACCATAATGCCCCACAGGTTGGGTGTGCATTTCATGACTTGGCTATTGCCAAGCAACCCTGAATATTGGCTAATGGTATCTGTCCAAGCAAAACAGAAAAAGACTGAGCAGAAAAGAAGAACCAGCATCCTCTCAACATTATGCTCATACAACACACCAGAAATTTGAAGATATTTTGCATTTTTATCTCACATCCTTTATCAAGTCAGCAATGGATGAATTGATATATGAAAAAAATATAAAAACTGATAAACTTTAACAGTAACGACACTCAAGATACTTTCAGGCTTTTTTCCTGATGTGACTTTCCCCAGATTTAATGTATTGGGCACCCAGATGCTGCTGAGGCAGAGGCACACAAGTCCACAAGTGAAAGCCCAGACCTTGGGGAGCTGCACACCAAGGAACGGCCCAAACGCTTCTGGACACAAAGTGAGAAGATCACAGATGGCCACGGAGCAGAGGTTCCCTGGTAAATCCCAGATGCCTGCAGGGAAACGGCTGATTTTTGCTTATGGGGAAACAAGTGCCTAAAGCACTAAATGGGAATGTTTGAAAACATGCTCTTCTGGGTTAACCTAGTTTTAAAAACTGTACGTGAAGAAGTCAACCTGCCAGAAGGACAGTGTTGATTGCTGCTCCTGATGCCACAGGCCAGACAAAGACAGGTATGACATTCCCAGTTCCCACATTCATGAGTGACAGACCAAGAAGGGATGCTCTTTCCCACCTCACACAAGTCATACCCAGTGGTTATATGTAAAATACAGCTTAAAAAAAAAAATTCTTCTCTATATAACACTGAACCTTCTTTAAAACTGATTAATGCTTCAGTAAGAATAGCAAAAGAGACCACCAGCAGCCTGTGGGAAAAGAAAACAAAAAAACCAAACCCAGGTACAGTCAGGGTGGGGAAGAGAAGGAGTCTGTGCTCAGAGCTGAGCCTACATGGTGCTTCTCAGGTATTAATGTTTCATCAGATACCACGGCCTTGCCTCCTGCTTAGTCACCAGCTTACCCTGCCCTAAAAGATACTTCTGGAAATGGCAACCCTACCTGTTCCTGTGTTAAATACCACTGTGCTACAAAAAAGACTGCCTGCATACACTGCATTCTGTATATAATGGTAAAATGACTAATTTGTGACTATTTTAGATCTGCACACAAAAGCAAATAGCTGAATCCTTCTCAGGGCTACTCTAATCCCCCTTCCTCTCAGGAAACAGCAATTTCACGTTTTCTGATTTAAAAAGACACATCACTGATGTGCAATCGTGCTCTTTACAGTCTCTGCAAGTACAGCCCACAGTATTTTTGCAGGCAAAGTACATTTTGTAGCCTACAAGTTTCGATGGTATCTCTGTAGCTGATGAGATGAACTTTGCTGATGAGATGAATAAAACGAGTACAGTCATTTTAGGTGATCTTTGAAACAGCTAAAAATCTACAAATGGGTCACTAGGACCAAGGAGCCTCAGACAGCTTTATATCAGCCCACAAGACCTCATTTTCACTCTTTAACCAGGTACTGATAAAGCCATAAATACAAAACACAGGTGTAACTTATTTTTAAAAAGCAAAGCTGACACTTTATTTTTACATATGTCATGACAGCCGATTTTAATGCTTTCTCTGAATAATTGTTCTCATTTTTTTCCTATTTATATTGTTGTTCCGACTCTTTTAGAGCTGATGCTGAATTGTAGTTGCTGCACTGGACAACACTGAAATAAAATTTAAATTGGATGGTTTTGTAACTGCTGCAAAACATTCACATGTACAGACACCACAAAAGAAAAAACAAACATCAGCCTTAAAAAATGTCATATACAACACTAACCAAAAAAGGCATTGTAACCAAACTGCAAAAATTATTAAAAATTATTTGAAATTAAAAATTATATTAAGAAACTTGTTTCTCAATTTTTTTGTTTCTGATTTTCAAATTTACTTGCATGCCTGCCATGCTTCAAGTTAAAACTGTGAATCCAGGACTGACTGGCTGTTTCCTAAATAAACTGGGAAGCTGTCATCAGGAAGCATCTGCTCCTCTATTGCTCTCAGGTAAAATCACTCCTCTGCTATCATAATGGACTATTGAGCAGATGTTTAAAAGCAATGTATGTATTAGAAAGAAGATAAGCAGCAACTATCTAATTAATTACATTAGTTCCATCATAAATGAATTACCACTGATTTTAATTGATATAAAATTGTCCTCAACCTTTAAGTATCCCCAAAACAAATTAAGTTGATTTGTTCCTTTTAAAATGCTAAATTATTTAAATCAATAGGTAACAAACATTGCCAGGTGTCATTCTGAAGGCAAAATAACATATTTGTACTATTTCTATTCCTCCTGATGAGGAAGGCAAGTTTAAAACCTGGGGTAACAAGTTAATTTGACAGCAGGAGAGAGTTAATTGTGGTTTTGGGTAGTTTAGTGGCAGCAGGGAGGTGTGGGTTAAAGTGCCTTTGGAGGGAGACCAAGAAGGAAAGGGAAGGCAGACAGGGTAAGCTGGGAAGGTGACAGAATCACCTAAAAAATGGATTTCCTTCCTGACACCAAACATTTTCCCATCTCCACCTCACCTTCAGAGGCCCACTGAGCCAGACCTCCTTGCTCAGGCCTGAATTCCCTTAAAAATTAAGAAGCAGGCCCCCTTTTGGGGGAAAAGATAGGAGAAGTGGCGCAAATGAACATTTCTCCTGGACGTCCAGACACTGTTGCCCTTTCCCCAGTTCCCACATTCCACGTCTCCTTTCTTGCTGCCGTGGCCTCTGTTTGCTCCTGCCTTGTCCAGGCTCCTGGGAGATGCTCCTGCAGGAACACAGCAGGACTGGGAAGAGGTGACACAGGCACAGGTACTGGTAATGCTGCTTTGAGAGTGAGGCGGGGAAAAAGGAGACGCAACCCAGATTAATAGGCAAATTTGCCTTCATTGCCTGGAATGCATTTAGATCTAATTTCATTTCAGCCTCTAAAGTTGAAAGTCTATCATTCTTCCTCTCTCTTCAGAGGTGCAGAGCCACCACTGAAACACAACAACTTTCAGGAGCAGCTCTTTCAACACTCCTCCCCTGGCAAACAGGGAGATTTGAACATGGAAACTGAACGGGAGGACAGTGTTCATCAGGGAGAATTAAAGCAGGCCGATGAGCAGGGCGTGGCCACGTGGTGAGATGTTATCTCCGTTCTCCTCCCGGCTGTTCTCCCAAGCATCCAAACTCCCAGATCCGGTTCTTGCTGCTGCCCCTGCAGGTCCAGTCTCTGCGGGACATTTTCCTGCAGGTTTTGGTCCCTCCTGTGCAGAATTCTAAACTCAAACGAGACCTCCAGACCTTGTGGGGCCTTTGCCACCACTGGTCACTGGCCATGCAGTGTGGGGTCACAGTGGTCAGCAAGGTGACCCTGCCTGGGGAGGGGACACTGAGTGCATTTACTTACTGTCACTGTTTTTCATCACTACTAAATGCTCACACTGTGCTCAAATTTACAGGCTCTAATCAAAAGTAGCCTACTCTACCACAGCCTATAAAAATGCAGGTATCTCCCTGAAGAATTTCCGTGTAATATGGATGTTGTACAAAACCCTTTACCACCAGCTGCACCATTTTTATGACCATTGATAAACTGCTCTCTTAAGTGAAGAGCACATGGGGAATCCAACTACCTCCAGGTGCTTTCTATTGCTGACATCACCAGTGACAGACGAGGAAAACACAAGGAAAGCAGAAGTGGTCTGAAGCATAACGAAGTTATCTTATGGATTTATCTTCCGCGTGCAGCTAGAAAATCCTCCCCACTGTCTAAGGCTTCTTACAATTTAGTCATCCAAGTGAAGAACCTGGTTAAATACTCAATAACAGAGAAAGAAAGTGGCTCTTAAATCATTTGGTGATGCCTAAAATACTGTGTGCAAGGAGCCTTCTTTTGCAAGACACAGCTACCCTGAAAAGCCACTATGTCACCAGTAGAGTCAAGGTAAACAGGTAGTGGATCCCTGAAATACGTTATTTTCGAAAGGGAAATCTTTTGACTGAACTCAGCACCCTGGCCATGACACTGTGAAAGCATCCAGTCATTTTCAAAATAACTTTTTCCCACAAAAAGTTCCCCCCTAACCCCAACCC